AGAGGTCTCCTGCCCGGCGGCGGCGGCGGCGGCGGCGGCGGCGGCAGCAGCAGAAGAGGAAGATGTGCTGCCAGAGGATGGGGTCAGTGCTGAGAACAGTGAGCCCGCAGGTTCTGAATGGGCTCTCTTGAAGGGGTTCCTTCTGGTTCCACACTTCTCAGGCTTGGCTCCATCTCCACTTTTGCCACCCGATGCATTCTTCTCCCCGTTTTCCTCACTCAGAGCTTTGCGCCAATTTTGCATCTTGGTCCACTTGTTACTGGAGGCCTTTTGTATCTTTTCAAGTGTCGATGAAGGCGAAGGAGCAGCTGCCACTGTTCCTTCGCCTTCCCTGATCTCATCCAAGGTTCCTTTGGAGCCCGTGTGCCAACTGTATGTAGTCAGAGGGTGGTTGGTCTCTGACGTCGGGCCTGCTGGAGCCTCGCCGGCTGATTCCTGTTCTGGTTGTGATAAACTAGTCTCCTTCCCAGCTTGTTGAGCAGCAGCAGCAGCAGACTCCGAATCTTTCTCGTCGGTGCCCATTTTAAGGACGGTTAGCCGTAAAAGTGTCGTTGAAATTCCCAAAAACGAGCTCCCCTTCGCAGGAGACGTTACCTGATGCTGACCTTCAGTCTGCGTAGAGGATGACAAACACGTTTGCCCCTGCACAGGCTCAGTCGCTCTCTTTCTGCTTTTCTGACTTCCTGTCTTGCATAAACGATGATGCTCGACATTGTGGTTGCTTTCCTGCTGCGCTCTTCACTCACTAGACTGTTTGCTTCCTCCTGAAAATGACACAGAGAAGTTCACCTTTTTAGAAAATAAAAAAAACAAAAACAACTCACAGCTGTTAGTGTTGTTTTCTCACTACATTTTCACTGAACTTCCTCTCGTCCGCACTTCTCTTTTTCACTTTTAGGTCAAACACCTGACACTTGGTACAGTGGTCCTTTTGTACATGGCTGCAAATAATGACTTCACTGCACAGGGACCTTCCAACAGTTCATTTTTCATTTATATCCTTTTTTTTTTAAACTTTTTGAACTTTTGATATTTATGAAAACATACAATGTCACTGCTTTTTGTTGTTTTTTTTGGTTGTTTTTTTTTGAAGTCTGTAAAATTGTATTGATTTGAACTCTGCAGCAAAGACTGAGAGAATCACGCCATGTTCATCTACCTGTGGGAGGGTGGACTGTTGACTGTTGAAATCAGTTTCCTGTAGAAGCTCAGTTCCATTTCCTGTTAGGTTTCAGAAACAAGAAAACCACTTCCTGCACCCTGCTTGTACACAGAGACACACAAAAAAAGATAGTGCCCTGTATGAAAGTCTGGGATATATATAAATATATATATATATATATGAAAATATATGAAAGT